GAACAGTTGCCGTCTAGTCGTCACAATGAAGTCAATCTCATTTTTTGTCGAATCGTCGGGGCTCGACCAGGTCCACTTTCTGTGGGGCCGCTTCTGGAAGAAAGAGTTCATCATAAAGAGTCCCTCTTTCTCCATGAAGTCGGCCAGCTGCTGGCCCCTTGGGTTCCGTTGCCCTATTCCGAATTTCCCTACTTTCAGATCACCGTTCTCTCTTGTTTTTTTTTTTTTGTTGAGTTTTGCGTTGAAGTCTCCCATTAACACCGTATCTAATAAAGGTTTTGGAGGGATGCATGACTAGAGATATGCTCATACATTTCCTCCACCTCCTCATCGGAATGTGCCGAGGTTACAACGAATATTCGACTATTATTCTGTATTCGGCCTATACGGCTACTTTTCACCGACTTTAAAAGGAGTTGGTGCTCAATTCAACTGTATGTTTTTTTTTGTGTGTTACCTCATAACTTTTTCTAGGTTAACCGATTTCAATGATTCTTTTTTATTTGAAAGTTGGCAATTCTCATGTGGTTCCATATAAATTTGATCAAGGTCTGTACCAATAGTTTTTGAGTTATCCTATTCCTATATAATTTATACATGTATTGAAGTCGATTGTACAAAATTTTTAATTTTAAGTTATATCCTATTCGGTCGAATACCGAATACTTAAGTAATTTTTTTTGTAGTCAGTTAAGTAGTAAAATTAAAATATTGATATATTTTCTTGTAATCATTAAACTAGTCATAGGTAACGTAATCGACCTCCTTATTATAAAAATTAACAAAAATGTATCAAATAAATGTCTATGCATGATGAAATATCTCAATTATAATTTAAATCAAAAATTAAAAAACAACCCCCGATACAAAAAGAGTAAGCGCAGGAACGCAATAGCGGCTGGCCGTGATGGGGCATGCCGTTGCGGCAGCGCACGTTTTTATATGAAACCGCATGATATCGAAGCACTGACTTGCCTGCGACGGCCTGCCGTCAACCGCACCGGTTGAATGATGCGGCGCGCCGCAACCCATTCACGCATTCGGAAGCCGCGGTTTCTACCGATTTCAAAAAGGAGACCGACTCAATTCGACTGTATGTTTTTTTTGTGTTACCTCATAACTTTTTACTGGGTGAACCTATTTCGATGATTCTTTTTTATTTGAAAGCTGGTCTTCAAATAAAAAAGCTGGACTTCACCTGTGGTCCCATACAAATTTGATCAAAATCTGGCCAATAGTTTTTAAGTTATTCTTAATAATTTATATTGAAGTCGGTTGTAAAAATTTTTAAATTTTAAATTATTTTTTATATAAAAGGGTGACAAACGAGCACACAGTCCACCTGATGGTAAGTGGTTGCTGTGGCCCATAGACATCTACATCTATCCTCGTTTGCGAATCAAAATGCAAATGCGTTGTTACCCGTGAAGACTAAGATGGAATTCCTCTTTTCCAGTAAAAAGGCTCTCCGGTTCTCTACACTCACCATACGAGACACAGCAGTGTTAAGCTACTATTTAACGCTGGTATTTTGTAAGAGCGTGGTCCTGCCCCGGTCGAGCCGACCCATTCGTGTTACAACTATACTACTAATATAGCTGCAACGTGGCTCTACCACATAGAGCCGTGCTGCAGCTATATACGGTACTAGCTGTGCCCCGCGGTTTCACCCGCGTCATCACGTGTCCGAGGTGCGCGATATGACCTAGTTCATCCATTTTATAACGGCTAAGGTTTAAGCGTCGTTCGCGCGCCCAGCCAAGTATTGAATTATTTTAATTTTACATTATCTCTTAAACTATGCGTCCAAATAACATGGTATAAAGAACAAAGTTTATCTTCATAAAATTGTCTTGATGATGAAGTAACTTTCGTTCGTAAGGATAAATAGGCCATGCCTAATAATAACGCTCATAAATCACTTAAATTTTCAATAATTTTTTTTTGTCACAAAATACCAAATTATGGCTTATGTATAAGAAATAGACATATGGTATCGCGGACTTTTTTTTAGACGGAGTAAAGGTCTATATTTTTCTAGAACATTGTATTTACGTATCCCTACGATAACCCCAGCGTACGCGGATAAATCATTTCGGGAGTGCTTTTTCTTCTGACTTGCTTAAAAATATCCATATTTAAGGCTAGCTGAGTAATATAGCTTAATGCTAGATAGCCTATACTATTCCACATGAATCTGGCTATAATATACAAAAAGAATTTTTCAAATCGGACTGGTAGTTCCAGAGATTAACGCGTTTAAACAAACAAAAAAACTCTTCCGCTTTATTATATTAGTAAGTACAGATATACTGCGGCATACCGCATCACGGCCCGCCACTAGTGCGTTCTTGGCCTTAATGATCTTCAAACGGCTGAACAGATTTTCTTAAAACATTGCTTGTTTCTTAAAACATTGCTAAGAACACTCGAATAAGGTACCTTCCAAACGAAAAAACTTAAACAAAATCAGTTCATCCGTTCAGGAGATATGATACCACAAACAGACATACTGATACACACTACAAACTTATAACACCCCTTCTGTTTTCGTCGGTGGTTTATACGTGGTAGAACCATGCTGCAGCTATATTAATTGTATAGTTGTAGCACGAATGGGCCTGCTCGACCGGGTAAGGACCACGCTCTCACAGAATACCAGCGTAAAATAGTCGCTTAACACTGCTGTGTTTCGGATGGTGAGTGTAGAGAACCGGAGACCCTTTTTACTGGAGAAGAGACATTCCATCTTAGTCCTCACGGGTGACAACGCATCTGCATTTTCATTCTTTATTGAGGATAGATGTAGATGTCTATGGGCCACAGCAACCACTTACCATCAGGTAGACTGTGTGCTCGTTTGTCACCCTATACTATAAAAAAAACTTAGAAGTGGATGATTATGATGCAAAAAGACTAAGACTAAAGACTGCATTTTCAGGCAGTAGTTTACTAGGTAATTTTCTTCTCGTAGACAATCCCAGCTTCAGAGAAAAGCTAGAAGCTCTGAATAAACACTACTTCCTTCCCGGTCGAATACTTTTGACCTAAAATTCGGTTATTCGGCCAGAATGCCCACAGAATATTCGGTATTTGCCGTGTGACCGAATATTTTTTTTTACTTATTATAAGCTTCATCATTACAGCCCTTCACAAGTCCACTGCTGAACATAGGTCTCCCCCAAAGAATGCCACAAAGCACGGTCCTGAGCCACCTGCATCCATCGACTTCCTGCATGTCTTACCAGGTCGTCACTCCATCTCGTAGGGGGACGCCCTACACTTCGCCTACCGGTACGAGGCTGCCACTCGAGAACCTTTCTTCCCCATCGGTTGTCGGTTCTTCGAGCTATATGGCCGGCCCACTGCCACTTCAGCTTACTAATCCGTTGGGCTATGTCGGTTACTCTGGTTCTACTGCGGATATCCTCATTTCTAAGTTTATCACGCAGAGAAACTCCGAGCATAGCCCTCTCCATAGCTCGCTGAGCGACCTTGAGCTTCCTCATACGGCCAGCAGTGAAGGACCACGTCTCAGTTCCATAAGTCATCACTGGCAACACGCACTGGTTGTACAATTTCGTTTTCAGGTTTTGAGGTGTCTGACGAGAAGATGTGTCGTAGCTTCCCGAACGCTGCCCAGCCGAGTTGAATCCGTCGATTGACCTCTCGGTCGAAGTTGGACTTACCTAGTCGGACTATTTGTCCCAGGTAAACATACTCGTCAACAACTCGAGCTTAGTGCTCCCAACAACTACCGGCATAGGTGTGACATGGACATTGAACATGATCTTTGTTTTGTCCATGTTCATCTTAAGACCTATCCGTTGGGAAACACTATCGAGGCCATTGAGCATAGTGCTTAGGTCCTCCAGCGATTCTGCCATAAGGACTATATCGTCGGCAAATCGAAGGTGAGTGATGTACTCGCCATTGATGTTGATACCGTATCCTTTCCAGTCCAGAAGCTTGAAAACGTCTTCCAATGCAGCGGTGAAGAGTTTCGGGGATATGACGTCACCCTGTCTTACACCTCTCTGCAATTGGATAGGTTTCGTACTCTGGTTCTGTACTCGGATAGCCATCGTAGCCCTACTGTACAAGCACTTCAACACTTCGTATATCGAATACCGACAGTCAACTTGGCACTGCTGAAGGGACTGCAGCACCGCCCAAATTTCGACGGAATCAAAGGCTTTCTCATAGTCCACATACGCCAGACATAGTGGCAAATTGTACTCTTCGGACTTCTGTACAATTTGCCGAAGGGTATGTATGTGGTCTATGGTGCTAAAGCCCTTTCGGAAACCGGCTTGTTCGGGAGGCTGGAAGTCGTCAAGTCTGCGCGCGAGACGATTCGTAATGACTCTCGAAAACAGCACGTAGACGCGGCTCAGAAGGGAAATCGGTCTGTAGTTCTTCAAGAGAGCGTTGTCACCTTTCTTGAAGAACAAGACCACCGCACTTCTGCTCCACGCCTCCGGTGTAATGCCACCATGGAGGACGGAATTAAAGAGCTTCTGAAGGACTTCAAGTACCGGTCTTCCACCCGCTTTCAGAAGCTCCGCTGTAATTCCATCCTCGCCTGGGGCCTTACCGTTTTTAAGGTGCTGGAGAGCCATTCTAATCTCGCTCAGACTGACGTCCGGGATATCTTCGGAATATCTTCGGAATAGTGTCGGATGAGACTCTTATAAGCTTGCTTGACCACAATCCCACCTGGTGGTAAGTGGTGATGCAGCATTAGATGGTAAATCGCACTTTCTTATCGTAACAAAAGCCTATTCACTCTTGCCTTGAAGACGCCCAGATTGTATTCGGACGGAAAGATAGACGCCGACAAATTATTCCACTCCTTTGCTGTACGCATTACAAAAGACAAAGCAAACCGTTACTAACTGTTCTTGCAAGTCTACTTTAAATCCTTTATTAATTCAGCTTACTGATGCCCTGTGCTACGTCAGTTACTCTATTAAAAAAATAAAGATTGAATTGTTTTTATAAACTATATTTTATTTATATAAAAATATTTAAATCATAACATACACAATTGTATTTATATACAGCTTAACATAAAACACAACATTTAGTATCACTTAATCTGATATAGGGAATGTTCAGAATGTATTGTCTAAGTGGAGGCAACGCCCACTCGGTCGCGTGGGATTAACCTCAACTCTGATCCGTGTTTCAGGAAAACATTACCTGAAAAACAAAAATTAGTTTTAAAGCATCTACGTCATTGTAAAATACAATTATTATTTACGTACAGATTTGCTAACAACAAAACATTCTAAGGTGGCCCCAAGGTGGTTTGCCAACCAAGTGTACGTTAATGGTCTTAAAATAATAAAAATTTGTCTCAACTTAGTAGCCTTTTTCAGGCATTGCAAATTTGAGAAAGGGAGATAAAATAAGTTGATAAGATATACAAACATTATGGAGTAAATAATCCTATCAGTGGTAGAGCCACGCGGCAGCTTTTGCTGTCGCACGGATGGGCCGGCTCGAACCGGGGTGGTACCACGACCTCACAGAAAACCAGCGTGAAGTAGAGGTTTACCTCTGCGTTTCGCTTGGTGAGTGCAGGTGGCCCTTTTTACTGGAAATAAGGCATTCCATCTTAGTCCTCACGGGTGACAACGCATCTACATTTTGATTTGTAATAGAGGATAGATGTAGATGTCCATGGGCCACAGCAACCACTTACCATCAGGTGGACTGTGTGCTCGTTTGTCACCCTTATCCTATAAAAAAATGAATTAATAATATAGTAAATAATTTAATAGTATTAAATCGTGCAAAATATTAAGGCATTTATGACTTCTTTATCAACACAATATTTATTCTTCTACTGATACTGTCCATAATCATTTTTGTTTATCAAAACCACTTTTTCCTTTTTATATGTATTTCTGTTGACTTAATATTTAGGTATATTAGTTCTGTTATTTGTGTAAAAGATATGTAATTTATTATTCGTGTTTTCCTTCCATAGGTGGTTGGACTCCTTTTTTGTGTAGGAGTCCATTTGGATGTTCTTTTATTTCGTTTTTTATGGATCGTTTTGTCTGTCCTATGTAAAATGTTATTAAAATTCTATTGAAATCAAATAACATCCTTATTTCAATAAAGAAGGGTGAGTGCTACCAGCTGCTTGGGATCCTATTGATGAGATTTTTTTATAGGATAGGACAAACGAGCATACAGTCCACCTGATGGTAAGTGGCTGCTTTGACCCATAGACATCTACATTTATCCTCAATAAAGAATTAAAAGGCAGATGCGTCGTCACCCGTGAGAGCTAAGATAGAATGCCTTTTTTCCAGTAAAATGGGTCTCCGGTTCTCTACACTCACCATACGAAATACAGCATTAGTTTACTTAGTCCTCGTGGACAACGCATCTGAATTTTGATTCGTAATCGAGAATAGATTTAGATGTATATGGGTCACAGCAACAAATTACCATCAGGTGGACTGTGTGCTCGTTTGTCACCCATATTCTATTAAAAAAATCATTCACGGGTTTTATCGGGTGTGTGACAGTACCGTGTAGTGGCGGTGTTTACGTCTTCCCGTGGCTGTTGTAAGTTGCGTCAAAGGGGAAACTGAGATAGGAGATGGGCAGCAGCATCTTTCTGATAACATCAAAAACGTTAAACTTCTTTTGGCTCAGAAGGGTTAGAACCCAGAGCCGTAAAGCCAGCCAGTAATTTTTTTTTTTGTAAAAAACACTTAGTCTTACCCGCGGTCTGCTGAGGATTGATTCCGATGCCGTCGTCAGTAATGATGGCGCTGGTGGCCGGCTCGACTCTGAACTCCTCCGCGGCGAACTTCAGTACCGCTGTGAACGGTGTTGCCTCGGGTACGCTTAACCTGTATGGGTAACACATATGGACATTTCAACCTTTTGCCTTCATCAACAGCCCGAAAAAGTCTATCGCTGACATAGTTCTCTTCGGATTTTCCTTTTGTTTGAGACTCCAAATGCAGATGCCTTTTCACCCTGTAGTATGTTTTTATACGTGGTAGAACCACGCTGTAACTATATTATGGTTGTAGCACGAATGGGTCGGCTCGAACGGGGAAGGACCACGCTCTCACAGAATACCAGTGTATAATAGCAGCGCAATGCTGCTGTGTTTCGTATGGTGAATTTAAAAGACCTGAGATCCTTTTTTAGGTTAGCAATAGAACACATATTATTAATATTAACACTTACAACACGCGTAAAATAAGGGAAAAAAACTTGAAGAGCCTAGTGCAAATAACTATTATCGACATCGCTTGAATAAATACATTGTATCCAGAATTTATAACAAAATAAAATGGTTAAGAGAAACGCCTTCAAACACAAATAAAATAAATTATGCAGACTTTTAAATTCCTCTCTAAAGACATTATTAAACGAGCTATAAAACATTACACATACTTTTATTGATCGCTTTTGTTTTTTTATTGCTTTTGTTGTTTATTATTATTTTCTTTTTTTATTTCTATATATTTAGTAATTGTAGTAGGTAACTTTGATATAACTATCTTTTATTTTCTTTTTGTTTTTGTAATTATGTAATCGTATTTGTATAGGTGACGGTGCACAATACGAGTAATACATAGTTTTAAGAGCGTGTACTCGTCGACAAACTGATTGTAGTTTAGCGAGAGAATAGTAAAACAAAAAACAACTAGATTTGAGGCATTTCATCTTAGTTCTCAGGGGTGACAACAAAACTGCATTGTAATTCTTAACCGGTTCAGTGCGTATGACACGCGAGTCGTGTCTTTTTTTAAATCGTTATAACTCGCTCAAATTGAGTTTTTGGAAAATTTATCCACAACAAAATATTCATTATTTTGCAAGTAATTCATGCCTGCAGTTTCGTTTCTGGATATTTTTAAAATTTGAAGTTTTTAGGGGTTGGCAACCTTTTTCTAACTTGTACATGGTACTCTTTTTACTTTGTGGGTTTTCAATCGTGTTGTGGAAAAATAGCACTCATTGCGACCGCTCACAAGCTCAAGTAGTAAATAAATTTCTGGAAAACAAGTCTCCTGTTAAAAAAAAACAATGCGTTTGTCTTATTGTTTAATTTTGCTTAAAATGGTTGAACTGCCGTCTTATTACTATCATATGGCCGAATAGACCTACGAAGTACCATGTGCTCTTGTGATATGGTATAAAATTTATTTTTGCTTGAAAGTTTGAAACCGTTCATGCACAAAACAAGTTTGCTAATAAATAGTCTTTCGTTAATCCGCCCCCGTATAGCCCCTACGTTTGTTTCCTTTTGAAAACACTTGTTTTGCTATTCTTACTAATTGGACGTTTTCAAATCGAGTTTAGTTTTACATTTGTATAACATTAAATAATATTTAACATTTGTAAATATTAATGAATCATAAACCTTCTTAATTGTTTGATATTTATAAATATTATTATTAGGTGAAAATTTAATTTAATAAAAACCAAGGTTTTCCAGGGTGATTTAGTTGTACCTACTTATATAAATGATTTTTTTTATAAAACAAACTAGTACAAAATGATTGTAATCTCTGCGTAAAAAAGTCACTCTCAATTTCAAAGAAAGTGGCGCTTGGTCATGAAATATTTGTTCGCCGCCACAGCTAAAAGTTGTCGAAAATTGGTGCCGCAACGATACGGTTAATTGAGGATTGATGTAGATGTCTATTATCCGTGTACACGTAGGGCCTAACATCCAGTTACAGTCAAGTGGACTGTGTGGTCGTTTGTCACCCTTATTCTATAATAAATAAAAAATCTTATCAGAGGCTATACAATTTTTCTAACGTTTACTGTAGTTGCTGTTTCATCGTATCTTGCGGCCGCTATACGAGGCATCGTAATCGTGAGTATAAGGAGAATATGCGATCTTCTTCTTAAAATGGCAACTACATCAGTACATTTAAGATAATAAAATAATTTATTTTGCCTTAGCACTGACTTTAGAAGCTTTATTTGAAAATCATTTTCTACCTACTTCAAAATGGAAATGGTACTCAATTCGACTGTATGTTTTTTATGTGTGTTACCTTATAACTTTTTACTAGGTAAACCGATTTCAACGATTCTTTTCTTATTTGAAAGCTGATACTTCACATGTGGTCCCATATAAATTTGAGTTATTCTTAATAATTATATATTGAAGTCGGTTGTATAAAATTTTTGATTTTAAATTATATTGTTTATAGTTTTTTGAAGTCAGATTTTAAATTTTGTTTTAAGTGGACTAAACCAGTACCACTACTAACTGACTAACCAGACTATACAATACTAGCGACCCACCGTGGCTTCGCTCTTCGATTTAAGATAAGCAATATTTTATCAAGCGACAGTAGCCTAATGGTAGGGCGCGGGCTGTGAACTCGAAAGGTCGAGGGTTTGAATCCACCATTCAACTACTGTCGTGAACCACTTCTAACACAAGCATTTTTAAACTTACCAGAAGTGGTTGAAGGGAATATTAGTAATGTTTAATATGATTCCTAGTATTTAAAAAAAATATGATATCTCAAAAAAAGAATCATGTTTTTTTGGACAAAATGAAGCCTAATTCACTCCTGCCATTGCTCTTTAGTTGCAAGCGAAAAAATTTAAGTAATCATTCATGTGTCTTAATGACATGCAAATAACCTTAGCTCAATAAAAGGCAGTTATTTCCCTATTACAGATAGACACTTTAATTTTTTTTCATAGTCTGAAAATTATGTACCAACACCTTCGATTGAAGAAGCAAGTGTTGAAATTATTAGAAACATAAAACCTGGTATAAAAAGTTTAATAAATATCAAATTACAGTGATTAATATATTATTGTCATTTAAGTTTACAGCCTATATTATTACATAACAATTATAAGTTAAGGCAATCTCTTTGTGAGTAATAAATTCAACTATTCATAGCTTAATGTAATTATTTTTTAATTACAGTACAATTAATAATTACAACAGTATATTATTCCAGAAAGCCAATTCAGATTCATTGTTCATAACTAATTCCAGAAACTCCATTTTCAATTGTTCATTTTTAGAAATTTTTAACAGTACAGATTTAAGTTCGGAGTATGTTAGATCTATGTAAAAATATTCAGCTGACATGTTTTCTTTTAATAATCTACCACAATCTATCAAGGCTTTTGAAAGTAACTGAAATATCTCATTGTGTTGAATACACAAATCTATTAAAAACTTTTCCTCTAGTCTGTACAAATGTTTCCAAAAATGTTTATATATTATTTCTTTGGATTGCATTATTTCAATAAAAATATCAACAATACATTTCACAACAACAGTATATTTCAAATTTTGGTTAAGTAAACAACTAAGTAATAAGTCTATAGTATTTTCATTACTATCATTTAACATATCCTTTATAATTGGTTTAAAATCATTACAGCTGCTTAATTCCGATAATATTAATTCTGTTTTAAATTTCATCAATGCATCTTTAGGAAACTCTTTTGGTAAGTTTTTTAAAAGTGTCTCTTTAGATGCTGCTTCTAGAAAAAAATCGGCTAAATAATCTTCTAACTTCTCCTCAGAAAACAGTTCTACAAATACTTTAAAACCCACATCCATTTGACCAATTTTTGACGAAGAGTTAATAATTTTTTTCAAAATGTATTTTGGAGGGTCTTCTAAGCATTTTTTCAAGAGAACATTGGATATACTGCTATCACTCAATGTAGATACAAACTCATTAATAATAAATAGCTCGTGCAACTTATCTAAGCATTTCACAACATGCTGTGACATTAAAAATGCATTTCTCAGCTCATTTTCACTTGTGTCATTACTTGGCCAATTGTCAAGTTGACATAAATGTAAAAAATCATGTAAAAAGTCCAAAAATTGTCTGACAACGACAGTTTCCATACTGGTTAATAAGTTGACATAACTTCAACGTACAAGCTTCAGTGACGTGATCAGCATCAGCATCTGTTAAAACAAATATTATTCAAGTGTTGATAGCTTTACTATTTATTGATACTTCTTATATTCACTGGCTACGTTGATGTTACCTCAACAAGTTAATTATGTTATATGTAAAAAACAAATCATGAAAAGCACTTACACTTTGAAAGGGAGTTTTGGGTCTGAAGTCAAGGTAATCTTGAACGTTACTTTCGACCTAAAAAGAAAATGTTCTGTATTAAAAATATATGTATTTATTACGTTATATTATATATACAGGTTTCAATGAATAATTTTTCTAACTTACATGATATTATTATTTTATAATATTTAATATTTCACCAATTGAAGACAGCGAACAATAAGATGTGACGACGTACACAGTACACACACGTCGGTGACACTGACAGTGACACTTCAGTTCACACTTGACAGCTAAGGCCGGCCAAATACATACGGCATTCCGTTTCGATATTCCGATTCGGGATTCCGAACGCAGCAAGTCCATATAAAATCTATGACCCGCCACACACGTACGTTATTTTTCCGTACGGAATTTCTCCGATTTGAGATTCCGTATGAGGCATTCGGGATCCCGAACAAAAAGAAGCCTCTCCGAACGCACGTCTTCCATAGATTTTGTACGAGTCGCAACACACATACGTAAATTCCGTACGGAACGCGCTCAGTGTTCGTCGCACGACCAAAGCGTGTAGGTGTGTTTATGTATGTTTTTACATTTAATCTTGTAGATGCATAGCTTTTCGTAACCTTTCATCTTATTTTATTTAATAATTCATATATAATATAATACATAAATATTTAAAAAATATATCTTGATAGATAGATCTTTTTACATAGTATTAACTATATTGCAAGCTTAGGGCTATAAGGGTGTTCAGATGACAGCGCCATCTATCTCATACCATGTACAATAAACTAGCGACATCTAGATCGCCCGTACTGTAACTAGGAAGTAACCTAACCATTGTATCGATCACAGAGTGTGTTAGTTATAGAACCTAAGCAATTAGTTCCATTGTAATACCGCTGAGGGCGCTGTACGAGACTATAAATATGAAGAGCCTTGCCAAGGCTCGTCCATTTTGATCGATTGCACAACAATAAAACATATTTTCCAAGAGATCGCAGTCTTTGCTGTAACATATTTTTTGGTGACCCCTACTGCAAGAAGGGCAAAAAAAAACGCAGAGGCCAAGCAGATATCCACAAGGAGAAGAGCGACGTAAAGCGGACATCGTTGAACGGCTAGCTAATCGCCCGCCCGACCAGCAACTCCGACAACGTGGCGCGTGGCACGTGGCGCGGTGGTGAAGCATCGTGCGAGGCGCGTGGCCGCGAGGTGCGAGGCCACGAGGCTACAAAGCTTCGAGGCTGGCCTGGACACAAAAAAACGAGCACGGGAACCGAGTGCCGTGCATCGTTGAAGAAGAAATCGGGTACCACAAGACTTCAATTGCCTGGTGAGACCTTTCCTTTCTTCTTTTACAAGCAAAGAGCACTCTGCGATCTCCCTCACAGGACTGCAATTCGGCGTCGCTGTGTATCAATTCCCTCAACTGCGCGTGTCGTTCGAGTGGCACGTGGCACGTGGCGGCACGTGGTGTGCCGGCCAACCAACCAACCAAGGCGAATACGAAGCCAGCGGACAAGAGGAAACAGAGAAAAGTGAGCATCCTTTCTTATTCCTTCCTTTCCGTATTTTTTCTGGTTTAGTATTCCCATTAATTTACTAGTAAAAATGTCTAGTGATGAGGCTAACGAAAAGCCAACTCCTTTAGAGAGTCAAGAACTAAGGGAGTTAAAAAAGAAGCGAAAATCCTATAGAGGAAAACTTACTATGTACTGCAATTTTGTAAAGAAATTTAGAGAAATTAACGTAGAAAAATTATCTGCCTCTCAAATATTAGATTTACAACTAAGAACCGAAGCTGTAGGGTCTATATACAATATTTTAGATACTATACAAGAAAGGATCGATGTATTGTGTACCGATATAGACGAGCAATTAGCAGACCGTCAAAAATATGATGATGCCTATTTTGAAAATGTAGCTCATGCTAAATTAATGATAAATTCCAAGCAATCTGGACATGCCCCCAACCAAGTACAAGTTGTAAATGTTCAAAATAAACCAGAGACACAGGACATAATTAGATATCCTGAAATTTCATTACCATCATTTAGCGGAGGAATGAACGATTGGTTGGAATTTAGAGAAACCTTTGATTCACTAATTAACCAAAGTCAAATGAATAGTATTCAAAAATACAAATATCTACGAAGCTGCTTACAAGGTGGCGCTCTGGAGGTAGTCAGCTCATTCGAATTCACAAGCGAGAATTACTCCTTGGCTTGGAATCTACTCTGTGAGAGGTACAACAACCCACGTTTATTAATAAATAAGCATCTGAAAGGGCTATTCAATATGGAAACAATTTCATTTCAAGCTAGCTCTTTGAGGTCTGTCATAGATAATATATCCAAACATTTACGATCTCTAAAGTCACTTTCGGTACCTGTTAGTGAATGGGACCTAGTAATTATACATTTTATTAGTTCCAAATTACCACTTTCCATACAAAGAAAGTGGGAAGAGCGGATTAGCTCGAAGGAATTGCCTTCGTTGCAGGAATTTAAGGATTTTCTCCGCTCTCGAGCTGACCTGCTAGAAGTGTCACACTCAGACGAAGTAAGTTCTGACAGTCGCGACAAAAGGTCTTTGGTGGCCACGTCCTCCTCCGTCACTCTGAGACCAGATAAGCAAAATTTACATCAATGTCCACAGTGCAAGGGTAAGCATTATATTAATCAGTGCCCAGGATTTTTAAGCCTGAGTCCAATGATGCGCATCCGCGCCGTCAAAAGGTCAAAGCTCTGCCTCAACTGCCTGAGCCCTAACCATGCAGTGATAAACTGTCGCTCATCAACGTGTAGGCAATGTCAAGGTAAGCATAATACACTTCTCCACATACCTACCCAAGGTACACAACACCAGCAAACATTTCAATCACATCCAACAACGCTACTAAACTCGCATTTGGCGCATACAAACCAACAAACTAATCATACCGAGAACAAAACGCAGCGATCGGCACAACCGAGTACAAGCACATCAAACAGTGCGCGGTTTATTGCTACCGGACCAGCGACACTTACGAATACGGTGACTTCACATGTCGTACACAACAAAACTATTTTTCTCTCCACCGCTCGTGTCTATGTTTTTGACAATAAAAATAAACGTCACACTTTACGAATTCTTTTTCTTTTACTTTACGAAATTTATTCCTGTTTATTCACCCCATATGGGTGGTATTTGGGAAGCAGCCGTCAAAAGTGTTAAGTTTCACTTAAAAAGGACATTAAATCAAAGTTTGTTAACGTATGAGGAGTTCGCAACTCTTTTAATAGAAATTGAGGGAATACTAAACAGTCGACCCCTCTGCCCCCTCCCTACTTCCGACACAGACATAATCCAAGTCCTTACCCCTGCTCACTTCCTCATTGGAAGACCGATTACTTCTCTGCCAGACTTCGAATACAAAGACATACCAATGACGAGATTGAAACACTTTCAACAACTCCAACAGATGTACCAGGGATTCTGGAGAAGATGGTCAAGTGACTACGTGGGGCTCCTTCAGCAGCGAAGCAAATGGCGAAGCTCCAAAGGACCCAGTCTGGCTGTCGGCACGATCGTCCTAGTCAAAGACGATCGCCTCCCTCCCTGTCTTTGTGCGCTGGCGAGGATCATCGCAGTACACCCGGGCCCTGACAACACTGTTCGTGTCGCAACGATGAAAACGAAATCGCACAGTGGTGGACCGCCAATCATCCAGATGGTGTGGATGGTATCGGGAGTTCTGCCGCGATGTGCGTTCGTGAAATTTGGCGGCTGGAATTAATCCGAACAATTCCTCAGAGCACTCCCCATGGTAAATGCGAAAGAAAATGCTAAGAGATGCAACATCTCTTCGCAGTGCCAATGAGTCGAGCCGATCGGAAAGGACTCGGTCGTCGACGATTCGAGCCGCTCTGCGCTGGATTCGGTCAAGTGGAAGAAGCTGGCACTGGGGAGCCCCAGCCCAGAGATGGGAACAGTATTCCATGTGGGGCCAAACCTGCGCTTTGTAAAGTTGCAAGCGATGTGCCGGCATGAAATACTGTCTCGCTCTGTTGAGCACGCCAAGCTTTTTAGAGGCCAATTTGGCCTTCTCTTCCAAGTGACCACGAAACTGCACGCTACTCGATATGTCGACGCCGAGGATTCCGATACTGGCTGAGGCAACAAGGGGAGTACCTTGAAACTGAGGAGATACGACAAAGGGGTTCTTTTTAACCTAGTAAGAATGATACAGCAACAATGGAGTCGCAATTAGAAAATCGTCGTCATTATTCGCTGGCAGAATGTCTAGACTCAATGGCTAACGTCTCTCAACTGACCCTTGTTATTCCGAACGGAAAAAACGTGTGTGTGTGATGTATTCACGGAATCTCGATTCGGGATTCTGAAACGGAATTCTGTTTCGATATTCCGAACGCATTAAGTCCGTATAAAATCTATGAACCGTCACACACGTATGGTAGATTTTCCGTTCAATATTTTGCGAATAAAACCTAATCCCGTATGTTTGTGGCCGATCCGTTCGATATTCTGAAACGGATTTCCGAAACGGATATCCATATGTATTTTTAACCGGCCTAAGGCCGGTCACATACATACGGAATTCCGTTTCGGGATTCCGTTTCGATATTCCGATTCGGGATTCCGAACGCAGCAAGTCCATATAAAATCTATGGCCCGTCACACACGTACGGTAGTATTCCGTTCGAAATTTTGCGGACAAAACGGGATTCCGTATGTGTGTGGCCGATCCGTTCAGAATTCCGAAACGGAATCTCGAAACGGAATTCCGTATGTGTGTGGCGAGCCTAAGAGCAATTATGCTTGTTAGGTAGTTTGTGGACCTTTGTCTATGATAAAAACATAGACTTAGTATCCATCATCTACGGGTAATATACTAGACCCGTGCACCCGAGTCTTTTTGACATTATTTTTTATTTGTGTAACCCTTAAGGTCTAATCCTAGACACAGGGTTTGCTTTGCAGAACGAATACAGAAGGCGCTACAAAATACTGCAACCTGCTATAATGCGATCTGCCTTTTCTCTTTCCTCGCTACACTGCAACCACCAATAAATTGATTATGAAAGTATATGGGTAATCCTTTTTTTACTTTCACTCTCTGCTTTTCCAAGACATTACCTATCATTAATTCATTTATTCATTACAACTTAGCAACTTAACAAAACTCTAAAAGAACATAGGCCAATCTCATAGATCGCTTCATATTTTACCATAGTTGCTATGCTTG